AGTATATATAAACTCTTGCAACTCAGTAAGATAGTAAACAATCCTATTTTAAAAATGGGTAAAAGATTTTAACAAATACTTTACTCCAAAAGACACACAATTGGCAAATTAGATGTTCACAAAAAATGTTCAGTATTATTAGTCTGCAGTACAATAAAAGTTTAAAAACCAAGTGAGCTAGCACCACAAATCTACTAGAATGGTTAAAAATTTAAAACATTGACAGTATCAAATGCTGGCAATCATGTGGAGGAACCAAAACTTTGATACATTGCAGGTGGAATTCAAAATGGTAAAGTTGCTTTGGAAAACAGTTTGCAGTCCTTTATAAAGTTAAACGTGCAACTCAGCAATCCCATACCTCTTTATTTATCCTAGAGGAGTGAAAACGTACAAATGTTTATAGTGGCTATATTCATAATAGACACAAAGTGAAAACACATCCAATAACTGACATCTAACCCACATATCCCACAACTGTTAAATACATAAATAAATTGAAGTACATCTCTACAGTGGAATACCACCATTGATGCATGCAACAGCACAACATGGATGAATCTCAACAGCATTAAGCTAAGTGAAAGAAGCCAGAAACTAAGGGCAAAATACTATATGATTTCCCTTGTACAGCATTCTTGTAAGTCAAAATTATAGTAAGAAAAATAAGCTTAGTGGCTTCCAGGGACTGAGGATAGAAGGAAGAGACTGGCTTAAGAAAGAAGAATCTCATTTTGTGTAATTTATACCTCAATTTTAAAAATGTCTTAAAATTTTGTAAGATTCAGCAAAAGCAGTGCTTAGAGGGAAATCTACAACTTTTTATGCTATAATTAGAAAAGAAAAATTAAAATCAATAATGTAAGTTTCTGCTCTAAAAATATATAAAGAAGAAAAATTAAATGCAAACTAAGAAAAGAAAAAAATATGAGTAGATATCAATGAAATAAAATAATAGAGAAAATTTAACAATCAATATTTGGTATTCTGAAAAAAAATAAAGAAAATTGATGAACCTTTGCATATTAGCCAAGGGAAAATAAGGGAAAACATAAAGTACTGATACTAGAAATGTTAAAGACAATATCACTAGAGATCCTCTGGACACTAAAAAAATTTTATAAAGCAATATTATGAACCAATAAATTTGACAACTTGGATGAAATATACAAATCCCTTGAAAAATACAAAATACCAAAGCTGAAACAAGAAGAAATCGAAAATTTGAACATTCCTATATGTTAATGAAATTGAATTTACATTTGAATGCCTTCCCACAAAGAAAAGTCCAGTCTCAGATGGTTTTACTGGTGAATTCTATCAAACAGTAAGGAAGGAAAATATTCACATTACACAACTCCTTCAGAAAATTTCTATTTGAAAGTGAGGAACACTTTCAACTAATTTTATAAGGTTAACACAACCCTGATACCAAAACTAGACATACATTACAAGAAATGAAAACTATAGCCTAAAACCCCTCATTAGCATAAATATAATCTATATCAAGTAGAGATTCAAATCTAGAAGTATATAAAAAGGATAATATATCAAGATCAAGTGAAGTTTATCCTAAGAATTCACAGGTAGTTTAACACTTGAAAATAAATCAAAATAATTTACTCTAGCAACTGCATAAACAGAAAAAATCATATGATCATCCAAATAGATTTTTAAAAATCTGATGTAATTCAACATCAATTCATAATTTAAAATAAACTCTCATTATACAAAAAATAGAGAAAACTTCCTCAACCTAATAAAGACCATTTTAAGAAAAAAACCCAACAGCTAGCATCATACTTATGGTGAAAGATTTTCCCCTAAGAATGGGAACAAACAGTGATAGTAGGTCTCATTACTTGTACTGACATTGTAGGACAGATCTTAAGAAATACAATAAGTCAAAATAAATAAACAAATAAAGAGCATAGAGATTGGAGAGGAAGAAGTAAAACTATTTGCAAATTACATGATTGTGTATGTAGACAATATTAATCTATAAAAAAACTAATAGAATGAATAAGTTAATTTACTAAGGCAGCAAGATCACAGCATCAATATACAAAATTAATCATATTTCTCTATAATAACAAACAACTAGAAAAGAAAAAATTTAAGTAAAAATTTTAAAGTGATATTTATAGTAACACCTAAAATACTTTGAGATAAATTTAATAGGAATATGTGTAAAACTTCTACATTAAGGTTATAAAACACTACTGAAGGCCCAAATAAATGGAGACATACACCACGTTCAAGAACTAGAAACTCAACATTGTTAAGATGTCAGTCTCCCCCAAAATATCTCTGTAGATCCCACAATACCAAAACAAACTCTGAGCAGTTTTTTTTAATAGAAACGGACTGCAGCTCTCCCCTATTTGCAACCCTCCCCTCCCCTCCCCTCCCCTCCCTTCCCCTCCCCAGCCTCTCTCTCCCTCTCTCTCTCTCTCTCTCTCTCTCACACACACACACACACACACACACACACATACACACACACGCGCTCATGCCTTTCCCCCTTTCCTTCCCCAGGCTCATTCTCTTCTGAGGAGCCATTTTTTCTTCTAAGCTCCAAGGACCCTTCTTTTGCCTCTGTAAGTCATTTCCTAAATCTACGCAACCCACTGGCTCACCTTTATTACCTCTCTGTGATTTTCTAAATAAACTTTCTCTTATTAAAAAGACAAATAAAAAAGATAAAAATAGAAATAGACAAGATGATCATAAAAATTATGAAGAAATATTAAGGTCATATAAAGCCCAACTATCTTAAAAATGAAGAACAAAATCCAAGAATTTATACTGCCTGATTTCAAGAGAAATAAACCAACACTTATCAGTTAATTTAATTTTAACCAAGACACCAAAGCAATTCAATGGAGAGAGAAAAGCCTTTTCAAAAAAAATTAACAAACAAAAAAACCAGTTCCCCCACAAAAACAACAACAAAAACCTTGGCCCATACCTCATACCATCAAAAAAATTAATTCTGAACAGATCATAGAACTAAATCTAAGGAACTAAAAACTACAAATTTTCTGACAGAAAATGGACAGAAGTCCATTTTTGTGAACTTGGAATAACAAAGGTTTCTTAGTACCCAGAAAGCACTAACCATAAATGAAGAATTGATAAAAATGGACTTCACTAAATTTAAAACTTCCTGATCATCATAAGACCCATTAAGAGATGAGCAGACAAGCTACAGACTGGGAGTAAACATTCACAATACATATCTGACAAAAGACTTGTGTATAAGCAACTCATAAATCTATAATAAAAAGACCAACAGCGAAATTTTTTTAAAAAGGAAAATACTTAAATAGCTACTTCACAAAGAAGCTATGTAAGTAGCTAATAAGCACATAACAAAGGGCTCCAAATCATTAACCATCAAGGAAGTGTAAAGTAAAATCACAATAATATACCACTGCACCCTTACCAGAATGGCTAAAAGTTACAAGTCTGATAATATCAAATGGTGATGAGGATGTAGAGCAGTGGGAACTCACACAGATGACTGGTGGGAGTGTAAAATTACAACCAGGTAAATTACAACTGGGTAAATCAGTCTAGCAGTTTCTCAGTGATTCCACTTTTAGGTTTTACCTAAGAAAAATGAAAACACATATACACAAAAGATTTGGACAGGAATATCCATACCAGCTTTTTAAATAAATCCTAAAACTGGAAACAACCCAAATGCTTATCAACAGGAGAATGGACAAAGAAATCATGATATAACCCATAGCCAAATACTACTTATCAGTAAAAAAGAAAAACTGACATACTCAATGACATAAGTGAACCTCAGATACATTATACTGAATGAAAAATCCAGACACCATAGAGGACATACAGTAAGATTTCATTCATATAATATTCTAGAAATGACGAAAATAATCTGTGATGAAAGAAATCAGGACAGTGGTTATATCTACGGATGGATAGGATGGGATTGACTCAGAAGGAAATGAGGACTCCTACTAGGGTGATGAAAATGTTTGATATATTGATAGGAATGGATTATATGTGTGTACACACTTACGAAATTTTATCTATACATTTCCATATCTGTACTGTATAGCTCAATTAGAAAAAATAGTTTTGAGAAGTCAATTGAAAAATAATCATTAAGTTACTGTAACAAAACAAGTTCAGTAAAGTCTGCTCATAAGAAAAGTCAATGTATGGTGCCAGATGGGTACTAGACTTACGGTAGGGAGAATACTTTGTAAGGTATACAAATGCCTAGTCACTATGTTGTACACTTGAAACTAGTATGATATTGCATGTGAACTATATTGAAAAATAAATTAAAATAAGAGAAGTCAAAATAAAATCTGGGACCTATTATTGGTATTGAAGACTACGTAATTAAGAAAAAAGAGAAAGAAGAAACAGGGATAGTCATCAGGGCCATTATTTATTGAGGGCTTAATAAGACCTCTGCTAACTGCTTCACATGAATGTTTCTCATTTAATTTTCACAACAACCTATTTTTCAGATACACTAGGAAAAACATGCTTTGGTAAACAAATGTTCTCCCTCACTATCCTTAGCAAAAAACTTAGGTATAAGGCCTTTTATAAACTTAATACCATGGTACTTTTTTCTCTTTTTAAATTTTCAGGCAATAATTTGCAGCTGTTTTCTTAAATCTACTACCACTAAGAAATGTGAACCACAGGGGAAAAATGACCATTACCTTTTTTTTGTTTCAGTAATACTCATAAAATATGCACCAGATCTATGACTAGAATTCTTGAAACATTTTAATTCTGTGAAATTCACATTACTAGACTACCCCTCACAATATAAATTGGAGGCTAGAAAGCAGGATTTGCCTAATAAATATTCTACCTCCTGCTCACCACTAAAATGAGCCTAGTATAACTTCCCTACCATCTCAACTAGAATCTGAAGAAGAAAACTACTCCTAAGCTTCTATGTAATAGCAGGTAGTGTTACAAAAGGGTAAGATGGTCCTTACCACATCCAGTACAGCACGGAGAGATACATCCAGGTGTACAGTGGTGGCTTCCGTCCAGTCATGAACTGGCCTCACTTCCTTGTGATATTTCTGTAATAGCTGCTTGGTGAGATGATACAAAGCAGAATTCCTGGGATGAGGTGTATCTATGGCTAGGATTCCTGGAAAAGGAAACTATCATTGTGAAGATGAAAATAAGAAGAACTTAGCATCTTTAGGAGATTTCACTCTTCCAGATTTGGTGGCTTACTCCGATTTGTTTAAGTTTACAGTTAGCTGGTAGAGGTTTTGGCAGTTTTAAATAACTGATGTAAATAAACTGATGGCCCAAGTGCCCAAAAGAGCAATCTCATTGCACAGATGAATAAATCAACCCCATCTCCAAGGATGCCAAACCCATGATTTCATTTTTGCAGCAAACATGCATCTTGAGGACAGAATCCTTTCTTTGTTCCTGTATCACCTTCTCCTGGTACACGGAGAAACCTTCCTATCCACTTAGCCAAACTTAACTTTCCCATTGGATTTTTCTTTTGATTTTCCATTTGTAATTCAACAGTTAAATAGAAAACCAGACAAAAACATGGATAAACCAATGAAAGCAAAGATCTTTGTGGATTTCTAAATAATGGGGTTAATGAGATTCCAATTCTTACTTTTCTCCTCAAAAAAATCAATTTTCTCACTTGGTATGTCTTTAAATAAAATGCACTTGTCAGAAAATGAGATCTTCATTTTGGGAAAATTCTCTTTGATTTCAGGGAACAACCATTTCCTGAGATCCAGGAATCTTGATTTGTAGAGGAATAGTGATTGGTGTTGAGGAAGGGGAGGCCAGGGGAAAAGAAGCCAGAGAAATGAGCATCAACAATTGGAAGTGACAAATTTGTGAGGGTTTTCTCTGAATTGCAAAAAGATATTTTGTTCACAAGCTTTGCCAGCCTTTGGGGAATTCAAAGCTTCACTAAGTCATTGGACTGAAGCAAATTGCACACCTCCTGCCACAGTGCATGAGTGAAATCTGTCTGCAGTGTCCTGCACATGAATTCATCGGGGCTTTCAGTGGTTTTGATGGTTATTTTGATGAGCTGTTGAAGGTATGCAGGATTCAGCAGGAAACTGTAAATGAGATATCTTCTCCCTCTGCGACAATCCTGTTTATACCCATTTCTTTATGAATGATGTCATGTCACTTGCTGCCACAGGCAGCAATTTCTATGATTTATCAATGTCATTGTGACCAAAATGCCAACAACAATGCTGGAGTAGCAATTACAGACTCATTGTGGGCAGTGGAATATTCACTTTCATTACCATCAGAACTGGAAGCCTAATGAGAATATTAACTTCCTAACTGTTCACCCGAGAAGATGCTTAAAATGGCATCAGCTATTCAGGCGTGCGAGACTAAGGTGGGTGGCTTGAATCAGACATCATTTTTAGGGTGTTTTGTGAACTGTGATTGTCAGAAAATGTGCTGTAAATCTCTACCTGAGATCACTTCTTGCTGGCATACCCCAGGGGTGAGAAGTCAGAGGCACAAAGCAAAGCTTGTCTGGTGCTTTCTTTGCAACTTGCTTTGGGCAACCTCGCTTTTACTTCTCTTGGAAGTTCCCAATTCAAGTCCCAGTTGGGGGAATACTGAAACTGCATGTTTCAATACCAGAAACTGCCTCAGACAAGTTAAAACATAATTCTGAGAAATGAATCTGTGTTCCCTATACCCTCTTCTCATAAAGACTCAGATTCCCCTCTACTATCTTTTCTAGGAAACAATCAATAGGTCCCCTATGGATAAACATATTTCCTAGAACATGTCAAAGTCTTTGGATAAACAGAGAAAGTTTTGGAAGCTAGAACTAGGAACAAAAGAAAATCAAGCAATGATAAGAGAAAATAAAAAGCAAAAGGAAGTAGGTTTAAGTTAAACTATAAGGGGAACTTTCTTTGTTTAAAATGGGAAGAAATAATAAATTACATTTCTACTATGAATGCAAATTTGCCTGAAGAGAAAGATCTATTACAGGAGAGAGATTAAGGATTTAAGTGACCATTAATTAGCAGTAAATTATGTCTCTTGAAAGCTAATGTGACATTCACACAAGCACTAAATGACTCACAGTTAAGTGATGTTTCAACAGACACTGATGGAAGCTATCAACAAACCCAGGGACCATTCCTCACTAGCACTGCCCCCTAATAATCAGCTTCAAATGATTCACTTGTAAGATTTCTGGAAGGTAGAATGTGTTAGGACCTGAGATGTGAATCACTTTTAGGTGAAGAGAGATTTTTTTTTTTAGAAAAGATAAGAATGCAATAGAATTATTCCTTTGTTTTCCTTATTTAAATGAGTTTCTCTTCACACACCCATCTTAAAATGTTCTGAGCACTTTGATTAAAAGAGCTTCTCTGGCTTCAGTGAATATACTATCTTTAGGATTAAGAGAGTTACACATACATCTAAGAGGTTACAAAGAAATACAGGTTTAGGTACATGGTACTACTTATTGAAAACTTGCCATATGTCAGGCAATAGGCTAAAAGCCCTTTACATGAATTAACTCATTTAACTTTTACAACAGCCTATGAGATAGACACTCTACAGTCATATGAGTCACTATTATTACAGGTGAAGGACTATAGACTTAATGAGGTTAGTACCACCTAAGGTCATACAGTTTGTAAGTGAAGAGGCTGGAATTTAAACATGAGTGATCTGTGACCTGGCTCCCTGAAAATATTAGGAACAGCAGCATGTAAACTTTCAAAAGAAAGATTGACACATCGCATGCTGTACATTATTGGGCAGAAATAGTTCATCTTTATTTTCTGAGTATATATGTTTTCAGGTCAATAATAAGTATATGTTATATTTGCATTGCACCTTACAACTTCACCATGCTTATTTGATCTTCTTGGATGTACAAAATAGTTAACTTACAGGGAAACTGAAACTCTAAGAGATTATAATCTCTAAGAGACTTGCCCAGGGTCACCTGGCCGGGAGTAGTGGAGCAGGAACTAAATGGTGCTCTTAATCCAGGCCTTCTACCCCAGCACACTGTCTCCCAGGAGCAACCGTGGACTGGTGGTCAGTTCAGTGATCTTATATTTACATATCAATTTGATACTAACCCAGGTAAAATTCTAAAGGGTAGATTTTTCTGCAACAAATATACTCAGTATGATTTATCCCTAGGCACAGAGTGTTAGAAACTATTAAAAAACCCTTTTCTGCCACATTTAAAATAAAAATCAAGCATAATACAAAACAATAGAGAGACATTGTTAAGAAGAATTTCTTCTGTTTCCTTACCTTTATCTATTTTATCTTAGTTTAATGTTCAAAATTATTTTCTCCTAAGGAACCCATTTGGCATTTAATGAAATTTCCTCTGTTTTCATTTTTATAATTAAGATAGGCTTTTATCCTTTATGTTCAATACCCAGGATTTTTATATTTTAATGTTAAGTGGCTATTTTTTCCTCCTCTCAATAAAAAAATCATTTTCAGCCCTGGCTTGTGTGGCTCAGTGGATTGAGTGCTGGCCCGCAAGCCAAAGGGTCGCTGCTTCAATTCTCATTTAGGGCACTTGCCTGGGTTTCAGGCCAGATGCCCAGTAGTGGGTATGAAAGAGGCAACCACACATTGATGTTTCTTACCCTCTCTTCTCCCTCCCCTCTCTCTAAAATAAATAAATAAATTTTAAGAAAAATAATTTTCAGTTTCTTGACTACTGAATTCCTTCCTCATCTCCATAATTGACTAATTCCACTTCCAGCTATATTTTAAAACATGGATATTCAGATTTAGACTCTAGGAGAACCCTCAAGAAAGGAGGATATTGGGAAATACCAGCATAAAGATAAATTCTTGATTTGTGCATGTTTTCTAAGAATCATTGTATCTTAAATGGTTCAGTTCAGTAGAGTTAATATCCACAACATGGAAATTTAGTTCCAAAAATTGAGGAAAAATATATTAGCTTCTAAAGTATTTTTAAGAAGAATTATATACCCAGAATATGCAAGTTGACAGTACCGGTTTTTAGAGAAACATTCACCTACACAAACTTTGTGGCTTGATGTAAAGCTCCTAATGCCAAAATAGTATTCAGGAGTCTCTAGCCATGATGCATCCTAGGGACTCTTTGGATTACCAAAAGCTTATGATCAAGCCAAGACTATTTTTTGATAATTAAAAATATACAATTCAGACATAAAAGCAAACCTGAAAGAGAATGCCCATACTCTAAGTGAAAATCACAGCAAAGAGAGTGGTTCATAGAACAGCGGAGATTTAGCAAACAATGAGAACATTTCAGAACCTATTTTCAGCTATGCGTAAAAGCCTCACTGTGTAACTCTGTATGTGTATGTATCTGTAATTGTAGGAGCAAAGTCATAACAAATCATTGGTCTCCTTGTAGCTTCACAAGACTTCATGTACAGATGAATAAATATGAACACTCATGAGGAGTTAGTTATATACAGCATACTGTAGAAAAATATTGTCTCTAGTTTCTAAGAGTTAATACTCAATGCCTAGTGAAATCATTTAGAGAACTCACCTGAGGCAGCCACCAGGATGAAGGGCCACAGAGGAGCCATTGCACTTGCCAATGTTTCTGGAAAAAAAGGAGAAATGCAAACTTGCCTGTAAGATGGAATGCCACTTAATTTTTCCTAAAAGGGCTTGTATTGTCTTCACTTGGCTCTTCTTTGTTTGCCAGTTTATGTTCTTGCTAGTGCTGTTTTGTGAGCACTAAATGGAAACCTAAGGCAATACCAACACTACAGAAATGTTTTGGAATTCATACCATCTCAATGTCCCTTAACTTCTGCATTTGGTTCTGCCCCAGGGTCAGATTATGGCCAACATTTCAATTTTCTTGACAGGAGATATCTAAATAAATAATGTAATCTAAGAGGCGCCCTTAAAGAGAGGAAATTCCACACTAATATGATTTCCTTAACAGCCTTTACCTAAGGCAATACTCTTGCTAACATTCAGGACACTAATTTCATTAATAATTGAGATCCAAATAGCTGTTCTAAATATGCAGTAACATCTCCAGCATTTCACAATGGTTATTGGACTTGAATTACACAAAGCAAATGGAAACTTGGTATTGCCTAACAAAGAACAACTGCTAACAACGCCATGATAAAAGTGCTTTTTTGTTTTTCCTAAGCCCCTTTAATGAAAAGAAACATTGATTTTTGATAAACAGGAGTGCTTTTTAAATTTTTATTGCCCACAATTCAGAAAGTAACTATGCAAGAGAGGATCCTCTGCACTTATTGAACATAAGAACTACCAATGTTTAACATCATTCAGTAAATTTTTTCACTTTTTGATTGAGTACCCATTCACTCTTCATTACTTAGAAAAAGATCACAATTTTATATAATAACTCTATTATAACTTCTATTGGTAGACTCCCAGATGTTCTAGAAACAAAAACTACATTGCATACCATTTCCAATAGCTCCCTTCTTTTTACTGTAAATGAGATTATAGAAGCACAATTGTGAGATAAGTTATCACAAAGCAAATTGAGAGGGGGAAAGTATATACCCGATTCGTGTTCTCCTAATTATCCAGTCCCTTTGTTTAGAATCCATGAAATTCTCTTACTAATTTTTATCTACCAATAAAATGGTAGCCAGATTGGTTTCCTACTCTTGGTGAAGAGAGTTACAAATGTGGAAAAAAAGGGAAAATGAAGATGACCCTTGTGGTGTTGAGTTGGTTTTGGGGATATCAGTGTGAACTCAGGGTTTTCAATATATGTAGCTCAATATAGAAATCAATACAAATGTAAATTTGTGTGTACACATGATCATACACAGCCATATCCCTAGCTTTGTCTACTAGATGGCCTGGGAGTAAGGTCACCCCAATAGCAATGATTATATCCAGTACCCAGATTTTAGCGTATAAATACTGCATAACCTAAAAGGAAGAAATGAAGAAATGACAAATGCCAGCGCTGAGATGGCATAAGAGCCTAGAGCATCTTGTTGTATCATAAAGAAATGCTGGAAGAATGATGGGGACATGATAAAAAGACCTAGAAGCCAGCTTGAAGGGGCTCCCCATTGTCAAATCTGGAGCAATTCAAGCATCAAAATCGATAATGGTTGTGAAAAATTATAACCCACTAAATAAGTCATAATTCACAAGTCCTACTGATATAAGTAAATAACTGAAAGGGAAGAAAGGAAGGCTTTTCCTTAAATTAGAATGCCAACTAATAAGCGTAGAAGGACTGATGGATCTTCACAGTAATAATTCACTCAAGACACATCAATGGGTGATAAAAACTAGTCAGTGAAAATTTGATAGGGAACAGAACATTTACACAAGATAGTAATTTAATTACAAAGATCGGGAAAAAAAAACTTTCAGTGTAGAAATCTGGCACACAGTGCCTAAATCAAGTGGTGAAAGTTAACATCACCAGTCATGAGAATTGTGTGCCACAAGATGGAAGACATAGCATTATTTCTGTTATCCTGCCAAATATTCACTACTTGAATCTACCCAAAAAGAAATGCCAGACAACCCCATAGTGTGGGGCATTCTACAACACAGCAGGTATGTAATCTTCAAAAGAGTCAAAGTTATGAAAGTCAAGGAAAGACTAAGAAATTGCATCAGCCCTGGCTGGTATGGCTCAGTTAGTTGTGATGTTGTCATGTGACCAAAATGTTGTGGGTTCAATTCTCGGTCAGGGTGCATGCCTGGGTTGTGGGTTCAGTTCTGGCCAGGGAGCTTAGGAGAGGTAACTGATCAGTGCTTTTCTCTTGCATCAACGTTTCTCTTTCTCCCTTTCTATCCCTCTAAAAAGCAATGAAAAAAAAATGTCTTTGGGTGAGGAAAGAAAGAAAGAAAGAGAGAGAGAGAGAGAGAGAGAGAGAGAGAGAGAGAGAGAGAGAAAGAAAGAAAGAAAGAAAGAAAGAAAGAAAGAAAGAAAGAAAGAAAGAAAGAAACTGCATCAAACAAAATCAGATTAAAGGTACATGACAAGTCACTGCAATGTGTGATTCTGAATTTGATCCTTTCATTATAAAGAGCAGGTTTGGGAGAATTGGTGAAACTCAGATGGAGTCTGTGGATGAGATAGTAGTTATGTACTAATGTTGGTATTCTGATTTTGATTATTTGAGGTTATATAAAAGAACATTCTTAATCCTCAGACTTCTGGCCAAGATGGAGGCACAGGTAGATATACTTTGTCTAATTGCACAACAAAAGGAGAACAACAAATTTTAAAACAAAAAATAAGCAGAACTGCCAGAAAATCGAACTGTACGAATGTCTGACAACCAAGGAGTTAAAGAAGAAACATTCATGCACACTTGTAGGAGGGTGGAGATGGGCAGCCAGGGCAGAGAGGATTCGTGGCAAGGCAGTGGCTGGAGGAACCAGGTTGGGTGAGGCAGTAGCTAGTGGACTGGGCAGACCCACATTTGTGTGGGGATAAACTGGGGAGTGAGACAGACTTCACAACCCAGGAATCCAGCATGGGAAAATAAAGCCTCAAAACCTCCGACTATAAAAATCTGTGGGGGTTGTGGCAGTTGGAGAAACTCCCAGCCTCACAGGAGAGTGTGTTGGAAGATCCACATGGTCCTAGAATGTACACAAATCCACCCACCTGGAAATCAGCATCAGAAGGGCCCACTTGCTTGTGGGCACTGAGGGAAGTGACTGAAAGCCAGCTGAGAGCCCAGCAAGCAACATTGTTCCCTCTTGGACCCCTCCCTTACATACAGGGCCACAATGCAGAGACCTGGGTTGCCATGCCCTGGCAAATACCTAAGTCTCCACCCCTTACAATATAACAGGCACACTGAGACAAAAAAAAAATGTGGCCCAAATGAAAGAACAGATCAAAGCTCCAAAAATAGAACTAAGGATGAAGAGATAGCTAACCTATCAGATGCACAGTTCAAAACACTGGTAATCAAGATGCTCACAGAAATGACTGAGTATGATCACAAAATAGAGGAAAAAGTGAAGGCTATGCATAGTGAAATAAAGAAAAATATACAGGGAACCAACAGTGATGGGAAGGAAACTGGGACTCAAATCAATGATTTGGAGTAGAAGGAAGAAATAAACATTCAACCAGAACACAATGAAGAAACAAGAATTCAGAAAAAATGAGGAGAGGCTTAGGAACCTCAAAGACATCTTTAAATGTTTCAACATCCAAATCACAGAGGTGCCAGAAGGAGAAGAGGAACAGCAAGAAATTGTAAACTTACTTGAACAAATAATGAAGGAAAACTTCCCCAATCTGGTGAGGGAAGGAAGACCTCCAAGAAATCCAAGAAGCTCAAGAGAGTCCCAAAGAAGGTGGACCCAAGGAGGAACACACCAAGGCACATCATAATTATATTATCCAAGATTAAAGATAAGGAGAGCATCTTAAAAGCAGCAAGAGAAAAAGAGACAGTTGCCTACAAAGGAGTTCCCATAAGTCTAACTGCTGATTTCTCAAAAGAAACTTTACAGACAAGAAGGGGCTGGAAAGCAGAACTCAAAGTCATGAAAGGCAAGGACCTACATCCAACATTACTCTATCCAGCAAAGCTATCATTTAGAATGGAAGGGAAGATAAAGTGCTTCCCAGTTAAGGTAAATTTAAAGGAGCTCATCATCACCAAGCCCTTATTATATGAAATGTTAAAGGGACTTATCTAAGAAAAATAAGATGATCAAAAACATGAACAGTAAAATGACAACAAATTCACAACTATCAATAACTAAATGGAAAAAACAAAAACAAAAAAATTAAGCAAACAGCTGGAACAGTAATGGAATCACAGAAATGGAGATCATGTGGAGGGTTATTAGTGGGGAGGGGGAGTGGGGGATGGGGGAAATATACAGGGAATAGGAAGCATAAATGGTAGGTACAAAATAGACAGGGTTTGAAAATGGAGAAGCCAAAGAACTTACATGTATGACCCATGGACATGAACTAAGGTTGGGGAATGCTGGTGGGAGAAGGGGTGCAGGGTGGAGAGGAATAAAGGGGAGAAAAAAATGGGACAATTCTAATAGTATAATCAATAAAATATATTTTAAAAATATTCTTGTTTATAAGAATAAAACACTAAGTAATCACAGGTAGAAAGATATCATGTTGGCAACTTACTCTAAATGGTTGGCAAGGGGTAGAGGGAGGTCTTCTACTATTCTTCCAATTTGCTGTGCATTTGAAAATACTTTTGTGGGAAAAAATAATGACATGTTACCTTGTAGAGGAATTCTGATACAAAGTTATAGAAAATTTATTGGAGAAGTATTCTTCAGAGATACTTATCTGTAGATTTATTGATCTAGTGACCAGAAAAATGAGGCTTCATTGAGAGAAAAGATCATCATGAATTGCTCTGGCCTTGAAAGTCCCAGCACTTCCCATTGGTTCTCCGAATTGTCATCTTTCACCTATGAGATGAATTTGGACAAGAGGAAGGCAAGCTGCTGGCAGCATAACTATGTAGGTAGCGCTTTTTATAGGAAAGGAACACAGAAGCTTGCCTTTTATGCAATGGTTTAATTTAGATGATGATCAACATTATATTTTACCACACATTTTACAATAGT